GGACAGCGCGCGGCCCAGTGGCTCCGGAGCCCGCGGGACGCAGAGCACGAGGCGGGAGCGCACGGCCCGCTCACTGGGGCCCCGGCCCCGCGGCCGCGATGCTGCTGGACGCGGAGCGGGAACGCGGCCGGGAAAGGCCCGGGGCCCCCGCGGTCTGCACTTACGGCGGGAATCGGGGTAAGAGGCCCCTGCTCTGCTCAGCCCCGCGGACCTGAGCCTGGCAGGAGGGCCTGAGACCGAGAAAGGGCGAGGGTGACAGAGACAGGCAGGCCAGGAGGACGGGGCCAGGTTCGGAAGGAGATGGGCGCGACCCTGAGGCAGGTGCAGTGGAAGCGGGATCGTGGATCACTGAGCCTGGCGGCGGTCTGGGAGCGCGGCCGGCTTGGGGGTCGGGTTTGCGCGCTCAGAGCACCAAACTTGACAAGGAAGAGACTGCGAAGTTGCTGGGGTCAGGGGACACAGAGGAGAGCTGCCTATTCCACCCAGGCCCGACGCCACTCGGCTTCCGCGCTGAGCGCTGAGCCAGCCCCCCCCCCCTTCCAGTGGCAGAAGCTGGAGGCTCTGTCGCCTTCCCGCCCAGCTCGCCCTCCCCAAGGGCCTTTCGATTGCACGGACGTTGGACAATAATGGAGGCATTGTTGGCGCACCCGGCCAGATGCCGAGCGAGTGGGGCTGCTGCCTCAGGCCAGTACCCGTACACAGGAAGGATGCCCACAGGACAGGTTCACTTCCAGAGCCAGCGATGTGCACTATCATTCGTGGGGTGCAGGAGGGCTACCCACAGAGCACTGCTGGGCTGTCCCAGTAGCCAGTGAATTGCTGTTCTGGAGACCTGGGGCGGGCAGGGGCCGCACAGGCGGGATCCCCAGGCTGGAGGCCAGAGAGCAGCGTGAGCTTGCAGGGCCTGGAGGGTGGGATCAACCTACCGGTCCCCACATTTCCTGGGGACTTCTGACCTCCCCAGATCCTTTGTGAGGAGGGATTCTGAGATACTGAGGGCAGATGTATGCCACCTGGGCAGGGTGGCAGCCGGCTGGTTTGCCTTTCTGTGTGCAAAGATAGGTGGGCCCAGGAGTGGACAGACGTTAGGAAATCAGACTAGGACCACCAGGCACTGAATACCAGGAGAGTGCATGTCAGAAGTGTGAGGGCCCAGTGAGGAACCCCAAGACAGGTGGTAGTGGGTCATAGGAACTTCCTGGCCCTGCGGGGGACACTGGGCTAGTCGCTGTCTTGCCCCGTGCCCAGAGCCAGCAACGCCAGGGAGGCCTCAGAGGCCAGTCCGGAAACAGCCCTGCGGGCTGCACCGAGGCCTGGGTGCCACACTGTCCCATCTCCTCACCTCGCCTCTGGGCACACGATGCCCATCAGACGCAGTCCCCAAGCAGGGAGCACAGGTTCGGAAGGCCCATTCCTCCGCGACAGGGCAGCCAGGTCCCTCCCTGAACCGGGACTTCGAGGTCCCCACCCCTTGCGCACGCACAAACCAGGCCTTGGCCACACCGGTGCAGGAAGCCGCCGCGGGGCGCAGCCGAGGGGGAAGTCCCGGCTGGATTCCTCCCTACTGCCTCCACCTTCGGGGAGCTCCGCATACAGGCAGCAAGGCCCCAGCCGCGCGTCCCTGCGACCCCCCGGCCCCGCCCCGGCCCCGCCCCCGCGCGCCCCGCCCCCGCGCGACCGGAGCCTCTGGGCCGAGGGGCGGCCGCCCGCGCAGCACCCAGCGGGCGTCAGGAGTCGCCAGCAGGGCCCCGGGAAAGCGCGGGCCAGCGAGGGGCGGCAGCCGGGGCCATGGAGGCGCGAGGCGAGCTCGGGCCGGCCCGGGAGTCAGCGGGCGGCGACCTGCTGCTGGCGCTGCTGGCACGGAGGGAGGACCTGCGCAGAGGTGGGTGCCAGCAGAGGGTGGACGGGGGGAGACGAGGGAGCCATGAGGCCAGGACGAGCGTGAGCGCGAGGACCCAGTGTGTCTTGGCTCAGGGCTCCATCGAACTCTACACGCTGGTCGAGTCAGGTGGAGGCCCACTTGGAGCCCAGGACCACCCCGCCACCACCTGGGCCCTAGGACCAAGGGGTGCAGGGGACAACTGTTATTAAGCCCAGCGACTGAGGGCCAGGAGGACCCAGCTCTCAGCTCCCCACTTTAAAAGAAGGAAAATACACAGGGACAGGTGCGCTGAGCTTGGTGTGTTCAGCACCCCAATTCGAGTTTGATTGAGGCACATACACAGCCTGTTCCATTCACCTGGACCCCGACTTCCTGGTGACACCAGCCAGTGTTCAGGCTTTCTCGTCTCTTTTCCTGGAGCTCCCGGGGAAAGGCCCTAGCCTGCCCACAGGATGAGGCTGGGGCACGGGCTGTGCATCTGAAGAGGGTTTCATCTAGGCTGCGAAGTGGCTTCTAGTTATTTCTTTCCCTAGGATCCAGGGAGGGACTGGCCGAGGGAGTGGGAAGGTGGGCAGGAGGACAGATGGGAACAGGTGCAGAGGCTGGGGTCCTCAGAATCGCCACAATGCCACGTAAGACCGAGGTCACCAGGTTTCACCAGGAAGCTCGTCGGGGAGGGCGAGCGCGCGGCTGCCTCAGAGGCACAAGCGAGGTGCTGTCCGCACTTCGGTGCTGAACATCCTGGCAGAGCCTGTGACCTGCTGTGGCCTCTGGATGAGAGCTGGGCGAGGGTGGACCGCGCCCCAGGGCCGAGGGTTTTGTGTGATGCGGGATACATCACAGTCTTCACGCTGCCGCGGAAGGAGAGTGAAGCTCGCTTTTCTAGAACAGGGACCCAGAGGCAGGGTCGCGGGGACCTGGCTACAGGGACCGGTCCTGCTGGGCTATCCCTCTTCCTCAGGCTTTTTTGAACGACACTATGTGCTCGGCCTAGAAGCCCCCCACACACCAGGAAGCATGACCAGGACAGAACGGGCGTTGGGGGAACCTAGGCTGCGGGCAGGCCCACTGGTCACCACACACAGTGACCCCACACCTGGACCTGAGGTCCACTCAGTGCGGTCAGAGAGGCACTGGACAGTGGGTTGGGCTGGTGTCTGGGATGAAATGGGAAGGAGGCACAGGTACCCTGAACCTGGTGGCCGTAAGGACATTTTCTGCTGGCCTTTCAAGTGTCCAGCCTTCACAAGCGGTCCCCTGAAGCTCATCTCCAGTCGTGTAACTGAGGAGCAGTCAGATGGGGTCCAGGCTGTCTGCTGGCGCCTCTCTGTCCTCCCCGCAGCTGGGGGAGTTGTCTGGGGTCCTGTGGGGATCAGGGTCAGGCCACCCTGCTCTGTGAATCAGGAGTCTCCAGCTTGCTGGGCAGGAGTTTGCCGGCAACACTGGGTCCTGGGAGGGGAGCCCCGTCTGGCACCAACCTAACCTGCTCTGACCCCAGAGATACCCCTGTGCGCCGGCTGCGACCAGCACATCCTGGACCGGTTCATCCTCAAAGCCCTGGACCGCCACTGGCACAGCAAGTGCCTCAAGTGCAGCGACTGCCACACTCCACTGGCCGAGCGCTGCTTCAGCCGCGGGGAGAGCGTGTACTGCAAGGACGACTTCTTCAAGTGAGTGCCGCGGAGCGCGGCGGCTTTCCCCAAGGCTGGTGGTACAAGCATGCCCTGGGAGAGGGGGTCAGGGTGCGGCTGTCCCAGGGACACCCCTAAAACTCCCTCAGCAGAGCCACCAAATCTAGAGGCCCCTAGACACTTTCACCTCCAAATCCCAGCCCCTTCTGCTGACCCAGGCTGAGCACCCGCGGAGATAAGTGAGCTCAGGATGGGACTTCTTCTTGAGTGGCCCGCCTGGGGTAGGACACCAGCAAATAGTATTTGCAAAAAGGAAAAGTAATTTTGTATATTTCGTAAACCGATGAGGCAGTTCTTAGAAAAGAAACTCCACATCTGGAGAAGTTACTATCTTGTTTTTTCGTTCCTGGGGAGAGTCTGACCCTGCCGCCGGGGCGTAGGCTCCTGGGCCTGGCGCGATTTTACCACTTCGAATCCAGCGCAGAGGGAGCTTCCAGAAGCTGAGGTTCTTCCCTGGGATCTGAGCGCCGCGAGGGCAGCCAGGGTGAGGGCCTTGCCCTCTGGTCCGCTCTGCGTCGCGCCGTGCGCTCTAGACCCGCTCCGGGCGAAGGAGCGCTGAGCCGCGCCTGTGCCTCCACAGGCGCTTCGGGACCAAGTGTGCCGCGTGCCAGCTGGGCATCCCGCCCACGCAGGTGGTGCGCCGCGCCCAGGACTTCGTGTACCACCTGCACTGCTTTGCCTGCGTGGTGTGTAAGCGGCAGCTCGCCACGGGCGACGAGTTCTACCTCATGGAGGACAGCCGGCTCGTGTGCAAGGCGGACTATGAGACGGCCAAGCAACGGGGTCAGTGCGGGCGCGTCACGCCTTCCACAGCCCCATCCTTAGTTGGGGTCCGCAGCGGCTCCGGAACAGGGGCCTTCCCGCGGGGCTGGGGCGGTGGAAACCCCACGATGCGGCCTGGAAAGGGAATATTCGCGAAGCTCCAGGTCGCCGCGAGGCGGAGGCTGCGGGCTTGATGTCCCCTCAGTGCAGCACGCAAGGGAATTGTTCAGAATTGTCCAGAACCCTTGAGACTAAGGGCGCTTTGGTGGCCCCTTCCTGGGGAGCCACTAACACAAAGCCAGTGCCTTGCTGGCGGTTTGGGCGATGTCCTCCCTTGATATTTACAACTTCCGGAAGGGAAGGGTCGGTTCCGACTCCACGGCGCTGAGGTTTGGGCTTGAAATCCTTAATTCATCTAGAGGCTGGAGGGGCGACCTTCTGCCTGGGAGCCAGCGCCCTGCCTCCTCGCGGGGAGCTCACTCTCCCAGCCCCCCACTCACCGCGCGCTTCCCCGTCGGAGCGCCCGTCCGGCTGGGTGGGGCGGGGGACCGGCGCCTCACCCGCTTGTCTCTGCGCAGAGGCCGAGGCCACCGCCAAGCGGCCGCGCACGACCATCACGGCCAAGCAGCTGGAGACGCTAAAGACTGCATACAACAACTCGCCCAAGCCGGCGCGCCATGTGCGCGAGCAGCTTTCGTCCGAGACGGGCCTGGACATGCGCGTGGTGCAGGTCAGCCCCCGGCCCTGAGCGCCCGCGGTCGCGGGGCTCCCGGTTCTCACCGCGAATGGGAACCCGGGGCGGCGGCCGCTGCATCTCACGCGCCCTGCGCCCCCAGGTTTGGTTCCAGAACCGCCGCGCCAAGGAGAAGCGGCTCAAGAAGGACGCGGGCCGCCAGCGCTGGGGACAGTACTTCCGCAACCTGAAGCGCTCCCGCGGCAGCTCCAAGTCCGACAAGGACAGCGCTCCGGAGGAGGGCCAGGACAGCGACGCTGAGGTCTCCTTCACCGGTATGGCGGGGTGCGAGCCGCTTGGGGACTGGCTCCCCACTCCCGGGAGCAGCGCCGGTTCCTGACTTCCGGGCCTACAGTTTAACTTCAGACTGAGTGCGCACAGACCCTGGGCCCCTCTGTCCTGTCTGAAACTTGGGGGGGGGGGGCTGGACAGCCTGCCTCGGCTGGGGCACAGGATCCTCTCCTTCCTCTGGTGGAGGGGTCTCAGGCGACCTGGCAGTTCATTTTGGGGTGAGCTGGATTGAGTGGGTGCTGGAGGTGAGGAGGGAGCAGGACAGCATCAGATGAGCTCACAGAGCAGATGGTGGGAAGCAGGGACGGGTGCAACGCAGGGGCAGCGGCACTGAACCCCCTCGCTTCCCTTGCAGAGGAACCAGCCCTGGCCGAGATGGGCCCCGCCAACGGCCTCTACAGTAGCCTGGGGGAGCCCACCACGACTCTGGGCCGTGCCTCAGGGGCGCCGGTCGGCTTCTCACTGGAGCACGGAGGCCTGGCAGGTCCGGAGCCCTACCGAGAGCTGCGCCCGGCCAGTCCCTTCGGCGTCCCCCAGTCCCCTGCTGGTCTGCAGAGTTTGTCTGGCCCACAGCCCCTGCTCTCCAGCTTGGTGTATCCAGAAGCTGGCATAGGGCTCATGGCCCCGGGGGGACCCCCATCCATGAGGATGCTGGCCGGGAATGGACCCAGCTCTGACCTTTCCACGGGGAGCAGTGGAGGCTACCCTGACTTTCCTGCCAGCCCCGCATCCTGGCTGGATGAGGTGGACCACGCACAGTTCTGACCGAGGCCAGTCCACCACCCTGCGGAGGCTTGGGTTGCCTTGGGGCCATGCTCTGAACCCCCTAAGGCCCAGGGGTGCTGGAGGATGAGCCACAGACTGCCTCCAAGCTGCCCCCTCCCATCCTGGCCTGCAGCCTGGCTTGGTCTGCTTTGGACACCACTGGCCTGCCTGGTGGCCACCCAGCATGCTGGCGACTGTCGCCTTGTTTTGTAAGCAGATTGCTACCTTCATTGACCTATTAACTGAGTGCTCGCTGCTGCCGCCGCCAGGACAGCCAGGCCGCCTCCATAGCCCACCTGCCTCCCCTGCCTGGCTCAGCCCTCAGGCTGGGAAATGCTTCACTTTCTAACATTAAAAAGCAAACAAACAACTACCAATGTGCATTTGTGTTCCAGTGGAGACTGGGTTGTTTAAAGTGGCCCCAGAGATTAGAGGGAGCCTGAGCTCGCCTCGCCCGGCAGAGGTGACCCCACCAGGCCAGCGACATCCAGAGGTGACCAAGTGCTTCCTCCTCTTGGGGGTCTCTCTTCCCCACCCCTCAGATTGGCGGACTCTAGAATTTCTGTCCTTGAGGCGGCATAACTGCCAGGGCTCCTTCTCCAGGGTGATTCTTTCGAACAGCATCCTCAAGCCTTAAATTGTCACTCTCTACAGCCACCCTCAGAACCCCAGCTCAGCCGCCAACCCCACCCCGACTCCCTCCCAGTGGGCACAGGGCCCTCCAGAGGGCAGTGGGGAGGGGGCAGAGGTGGGGGCGGGCTGCCCTGCCTTCCCCATCACACGCTGTATGTGACGTGGTGACACTGAGCTGCACTGTCTGTATTCCGAGCTGTACCTGAAGAGCCCACCGGCCAGTCACTGCTGGTCTAACGTCCAGTATCTTTCATTTACTCTCCAGTGCACAGCGTTTACCAAGACTTGAATAAATTCTACATTAGTCAGGTTTCATCAATGGGAGGTTTAGTGAGACTGAGGACACGTGCAGGAGACAGAGGAGATGGGATGCAAGGGGGTGGGGGGGGGACATAGGCCAGCAGGCGGCCAGTTGAGACCAGGCAGGTCCTTGAAGGTCTGAGGAGCTGCTGGTTTCTCATCTGTGAGTTGTGACGATGGGTGCACGCCCATCCTCCTGAGAAGGGAGGTAAGGGATCAAACTGCCTACCCTTGATGGGCACAGAGGTGTGTGTGTGTGTGTGTGTGTGTGTGTGTGTGTGTTCCACACAGTCCTGGGAGAGGCAGGGCTGGGGCGCAGGCTGTCCCAGAATTGTGACAGACCAAGGCCCTGTGACAGCTGGGGCCTCACAGTGGTCAAAAGAGAGGTGGCTGGGGCCAGCTGGTCCTACCACTCCGTGGCCTGTGCCAGCCATGTGACCTTGGCCAAGTCACTGGACTTCCCTGAGCCTGAGTGGCTGATGGTAAGAGCTCCCTAGGAGAAGAGGAGGGTAGCATCCCTACCTGCATCACCCACCTGGCCAGGCAGTAGGTGGGGGACAGCCCCTGTGCAGAGGGGACAGGGCTGCAGCCCCACCTCTCAGAGCTCCACTGTCTCTCTCGACAGACTGTCCTCCCCGTTGCAGGCCCCCTCCCCCTTCTGCAGACCCCACTTCTCCTCCCCATAGACCCCTCTTCCCTCCCACAGACTTCCCCTCTCCCCCCAACTCCTCCTCTCCCTCCTGCGGACTCCCCCCCCCCCCCTGCAGACTCCCCCTTTCCTCCCTCCAGACCCCACTTCTCCCCCTTTGCAGACCTCACTTCTCCTGCAAACCCCTTCAGTCCTTGGGGGTCTGAGAAGACTGAGAGCAAAGTCAGGGATGAGCTGACCACAGGCTGGGAGCTGGGGGGTGGAGGGGTGAGGGGGGTCACCTGGATGGTCCCAGGAAGATGCAGGGGAGGGGGAGGAGAGACAGGTCCCATGGCTCTGGGGGAGCCTGTTAGGAAGCCAGGGAATTCAGCATCTGGGGGGATGGAGAGGAGTAGGGGCACTAAAGAGAAGACCTCGCTAGAGGGGCATGAAGCGCTAGAGGGGTGCTGGGCGGGGCGGGGGCAGAGGGGCAGCCGCTGCCTGCTCGCGGGAGGCGGGGAGCAGAGCCATAAATCGTCTGGATGCCCCCCACCCCCGCCGCGTCTGCGCCTCCAGCCCCTCCCCCAGGCCACCCGGGACCTTTTAGGCTCTGACAGGTTAATAAAGTGCCGAGTGTCCCCGAGGGGCCTCCGCCTGTTCGCGGCCTGGCCGGTGCGCTCGCTCCAGCTGGTGGAGCCTCCGTGATCCGGGGGCCGCGTGACGGGGAGGGGGCAGGGGTGGGACAGGGGATGAGGAGGGGCAGCAGGACAGGGGACAGGTTGGGGAGGGGGACAGGGAACGGGGAGGGGGCGTGGGGGAGCGGGGAGGGGTGGGGGTGTGGCGAGAGGACGGGAGAGGGTGGGGAGCGGGGTGGGGACATGGGGCAGGAGGCGAGGGCTCGGCATGAGGGGTCCTGGTGGAGAGTGGAAGCGACCAGGGACCCCTCGGATGAGCGCGGCTCTCTGCCCCGGGTCCCTAGCCTGTCCTCCCTTGTCTTGTAGGGGCGTTTCCACTCCAGGCCATGGACTGCCCTGTGACTGTCCACTATAGAAACAGAGGCAGAAAGAGGGACGCCCAGGCCACTCTAGGCCCCACGGTCAGTCAGACCAACTGGAGCCTGGACCCCAGGGCTAGGCGGAGCCTTCGCCCGGCTCGCTGGGAGTGGGGACCTCAGGAGGGGCTGCCCTTAATCTGTGGGCTCCAAGCCTCTGAAGGCTGGAGCTGGCCAGGACAGACGTCTGTCCCCCAAAACGTGCCAACGGCACTGTGAACCTGGGGTGCTGACAGGGCGTCCACCCCGGGCCTGGGACTGAGTGGGGTGCGGGAGTCCGGGTGGGGGCTGGGCTGGACAGCTCCGTGTGTCCCCGGATTGTATGTAGCTGAGAAATAAAACCACTTAGGCCAAGGTATGAAGGGGCCCCTCTCCTCAATAGGAACTCCCCAAAGGTTCCTGTGGTCAGTGTTGTTCTGAAGCCAATGAGGCCTGGTGACCTTCCCTGGGTTCCAGAGGCCTCTGGGGCAGGGTTAAGGTGGGGTGGGGGTAGCCGGTGTAATCCAGTTACAGACCTTTCAATTACTGAGGACTGAGCGCTTTAACCAACATACTACAGGGCCGGCTCCCTCCCATATCCAGGAAGGCTGGGGGCTTTGTCCAGTCCAACCCCTCTCCACCACTAGGGGACACACTGCCTCCTGCCCCAAATCCCTCAGTCAGGTTGCCCTCCTGGTGGGAAGGACCCCCCCCCCAGCCTGGCCTGGCTGCCCCCTCTGTGGGAAGGACCCCCTCTGTGGGAAGGGTTCAGAGAATGGCCTGGCAGAGTGGAGCATAAATCAGTGGGTGATCCCAGAAACCCATGTGGACCGCAGGCCCAGGAGCCCGGTGATCAATCCTTTAGCTCATAATTGTTTAGATTACTCCATGCAACATAAAACATTAATTTTAAGAAATTTAATAGAAAAAAGCTCTTTCAATACCAACGAGATAAATGGCAGTCAACAATGTGACCTTTCCCCACACCTTGGCGACATTGAATAATCTTAACGTTATTTGCATTTTCATTCTTTGTGGAAAAATGTTGACAAGCTTCTGGCGGTTGGGCGAGGTGTGCGTGCCGCCCCCCTAATTAATGGGGGAGCAGTGACTTCCTAAGTAGAACCTTCATCTGTCTGGGAGGGGCAGTGCCGCACCCACTCTCCCCCCGGCTGATACCATGCTGGGTCATTTTTCACCGTGAAAATGTTCCTCTCGGCCCTGAGAACTCAGGGGGACCGAGGACTAAGACAGAGCTGTCATATTCGGGCTGAGGAACACAGAGCTGGAGAGAAAATTCTGGAAGCTTTACACCTAGAAGTCTGTGTGAACATATAGCAGATGGGAGATGGCTACTCAGAGAGGCCACAGGTCCCCACCCCCCAAATCCAGCCACACCCACTCCATCAGCCAGCACCAACCCCAGTGATTGACAGACTGGACAGGGCCATGGGCAGCGTGCCCACAGTACTTCCAGGCTGTCAACTTTGTGCAGAGCAGCTATAGGGTTCCAGCCCCAAACTGGAAGTTCAGGTTAACAGCCAAGGGTTTCAAACAGTCTGCTGTCAGAGCTCCTGGCTCCAAACCCCCAGTTCCTGGAGACTTCCCCAGCCCCCTGCCAGGCCCCGGATGTGACTGCCCTCTGAGTCCAGGGCCAGTGTCTGGAAAGCTGGGCAGGAATCTGGGTGGGCAGCCAGGGTAGCCTGCTGTGTTTCAGCAAAGGAGCAGCACCGAGCACCAAGGTGAAATTAGGGTCAAGTGGACTCATGCACCTTCCAGTCCGGGCCACTCCTCGTGTCAGCTGTGTGGCCTTTGCCTTGTCACTTAACCTCTCTGAGTTGGTGACCAGTAGTACACCCCCTTCAGGTCACTGGGCAGAGCCAGGGCCAGGACGTGGGGCAGTGCTCTGTGACCATGGAGGGGATAGCGGGGCTTCCTCCAAGAAAGACGCTGTCCTGTCACGACCACGTGCAGATTGGTGGGATCCACTGTGCCCTGGCCAGTCACCAGGCCTGGCAGTCATCTAACACTGCTGTTGGCCATGCCTGTAAAGTGGACAGCCATGACAGTGACCTCATGAAGAAAGGCACCGTCAGTCAGAACCACAGGGGCCCCCACTCAGCCCCACTAGGGGGACAGATGTGAAGGGGGCCCTCCCCACTGCTGGTGACAGGGTGTACCACAGCAGCTCAGAGTTCTGCAGCAGGTCAGACAGGCAATCCCACAACCACCTGCGTTGGGGTTCACTCAGAGTGGGGTAACCCAACTGCCAGAATGGGATTGGACCCTGCAGTGCTAACGCTGACTTTTTACAATGCATCATCAAGCCTTCTTCCTGGGCCCTAACATTTCAGAGTGTAGCTGAAAGCTTAATTATTTTTGCCCCTTTGTGACGCTGCAATTCTCCACAACAATTCCACATCTGTCTCAGT